GGGGTGGGGAGCTGAGAATCCAAGGTGCTCTCAGGCAGCCATGGGCTTGGTGCTGCTGACAGGGTGACTCATTGCGTCAGCGACTGTGTGGCGGAGCCAAGGGAGCTGAGATCACCCGGTGAGTCTGGCTGGGGCCCAGCGCCGGGCTCAGCACATCACACCGCGCTTGTGTTGCAGATGTTCTCCGGGGTGTACGTGCACTCCCTGCAGGCGGCGCTGGCGGACACGGACATCGCCAGGAGCTTCCGCAGGATGGGCTACGTTCGGCGAGACGACCAGCATCTCGTGGTGTCCTGCCCTCCCCCGGCTGCTGAGCTTGTCCAAGCAGCCTGTGGCTTCTTTGCAGCGAGGGTGGAGTGCGAGATCCTGGGGGAGATCCTTCGGAAGCTGGGGCCGTGCCGAGTGTCTGCTGAAGACCTGCTCCAGGTGCGGAGGGGCACCAGGGTCCTGGATGACTGTGTGGAGAAGCTGCAGGGTGTTGCCGGATGGCCGACAGGCAGGGGCCCTGGGGCCCAGGGCTGTGATGAAAGCGTTGATCTCTACAGGGATGAGCTGGAAAACCCAGAGGATTTGGTCGACCCCATGGAAGCCAGGCTGCACTCTTCCCATTGGGGTTTGTCCTCCTGGGAGCAGCCCAGGCCTCCCATCCGGGAACAAAGCCCCCCCCTGTGGAGCAAGCCTGTTGGAGGACGTTATCCTGAGGATCTCCGGGGAAACAAGGGAAGGTTCTGGGACAAGTGGGGGGCTACTGAATCTGGCTGGGAGCAGCCTTATAGAAACGGGCCCGACCCAGAGGCTGCCTCTTTCTCTTTCATGTCCTGGAGAAAGGAGCTTAGCAGGGGAAGTGACTCGGTCTCTCCTGAGCGCGCTGGGCGCACGAGCCCTTTTGACAGTGCGGTGCTGGAGCCACTGCAGGCAGCAAGCTGCCTCCGGCCCTGCTCTGCTGGCACAGCTGTGCCCTCAGCGGGCAGAGTGGCCCACAGCTGGTCCGAGACTGCAGAGAGACCCTGGGAGCCGCCACCTGGTGCCGCAGGGCTAGAGGGCAGCAGTGGGGAAGTGCCGGAGCCACCGTGCTACCAGCTGCATTCGTGCCTGAGCCGAGGTGCCCTCCCCTCGTACTGCTGTGCCACGTGCTATCTGCTCCACGCTCGGGGCTGCGAGGCCGTGCAGGCCTGCCGGGGCAGCCACCACATGCAGGAGCTGCAGAGCGAGACCCAGAAGCGGATGTGGTTGCAGAGGACTGAGGTGGACATGCTGCTGAACAAAGGCTCTGGCGCTCGTCCCTAGCTCCAGAACAGGTTGCCTTCCCTGCGCCTGCAAATGCTGTGGGACGTGCCAACCAAATCCTACCTCGGGGTAGCATCGGGAGTTGTCCGATGCCACTGGACCTGTCCTAGGGGCCTGCTCCCTCCTGCCCCCACCCACTACAGCAGTGCTCTGTAGACTCGCCCCACACCCTCCCCCGTTGTCGCTTACTATCCCCCCTCAAGTCCTGTGAGCTAGTTCAGGGATCAGCCTCCGCTGTGTCCGTCCTGCCTGCGTAGGAAGGGCTCTAGCTTCCCTCTGCTCTGCCAGGACAGCAGGGAACTCAGCTCACAGGCTTCTCAGGGGAAGAAGTGTCTGGATTCAGGCTGGGCCCTGGCCCCAGGCTCGTGGGTCAGGAGTGGCACATACATCTGCCCCTTAATCTCCCGTCCTGCCTGGCTCAGCTGCACAGGGAGTGACTGCTCTGCTCTTGTTCGGCAGTCGCCTCCTGGGACCAGACCTTGCCTCACGAGCAGCGGTGCTTAGGGTTCTCCAGAATCCAGGATTGCTGGGACCTTGGAGGAAGGGTCACACTTCACGCTCGGGCTGCCATGCCTTAGGGTCCGGCTCTGCAGATTCACTTACCATCGCCCCACGGCTCAGCTCTGGACTCCCGTCCTCGGCCTGGGCATTGCTTGTGCCTTTCCTGGGAAGGTGCTGAGTGCTTGGGTGGGAGCAGAGCGGCTGTCTCGCATGGCAGGGGTTGAGCAGAGCTCCCGGAAAGGACAGCCAATCCCTCCCTCCCCTGGAAACCCCAAGGCTGCCTGTTGG